AACTGTTTGTTTATAAATGACAAATCCAACCTAAGTAACCGGGAGAAAATAGTGGACTAACTTGTATAGTTGGGCAGGGCAAGGATGTAGCTGGAACACAGGGACAACTGGAACCTGGAACAATCTTGTAGTTCCATCTTTTGCTTTTGTTCCTTTTTGCTTATTAGTTCCATTTTCTCAGGTTGTCTTACTCCATGTGTTTGGGTTCATAGGCACGGGTAACTCACATATTTCACATCACATATCCTTACCCTAGCGGGGGAAAGAACTCTGATACTTTGGACTTCGTGGTGCCATTTCTAGGACTAACATTTATGGCTGGAGTGGGGGAGCAGGATTACATAGCACAGATAGGACAGTGGGGACCCCCTTCTGTGTGTCAGGGTCCTTTCTAGAATCTAGGGGTAGAGGGCAAGATGAAAGAAGAAGTAATTCACATTCCTAAGTATATACAATGACAGCCAGACTTGGTGAGTGTTGCAGTGGAGGCACAATGAGGACTAAGAGGTGATAAAGTTGAACGTGTGGATGGGCTGCAGTTTACAGAAGAGGTGGGATCATCACCAGAACTTCCAACAAGGAAAGACTGTGAGGAGGGACTTTTCAGGGCAAGGTGTTAGAATAAGTAAGGCATAAAAAAAGAGAGTACAAGGCATATTTTGAAATTGGCTGACAAATAGTGACTTGAATCTAAAGAGAATAGGCCAGCAATTTGAAAAGTAGTTAGAGATCAGATTGTTGAGAATTTTTAATACCATGCTTTAAGATTCTGGATTTTCTGTAAGCTTTACCATATTGTGTTCTCCACTGTTTCTTGTGTCCTTTATTATTTGTGTGATTCATTAAAAAACAAACTACCTCTATTTACCTCTTTTGTGAAAATGCCACTTCTTTGTCTAGGGCATTATGCCTTTGTTATGTGTAGATTCCTGTATACTGGGGGCAGTTGGAGTATTTGGGCAAATGTCATTTAAATTTTAACATGAAGAGCAGGATATTCTTTATAATGCAAGCAAATTTGTAATTTTCAGCCAGTAGGAAATTAATGTCATGTTTATATTTTACAGGAATGTGACAAGTGTCAGAGGTAAATTTTTATTTCTTTTTCTATCAATATATAATAATTAGATCCTCTGATCTTTTATCTGATATTGACTATATTTTAAAATTTATTTTACATGACAAGGCGGCAGAAGAATAGAGCATTTTGCTATTTTTGTAATTCTGTACAGAAGTTACCAATTTGTGCACAATGTGGTAAGTATGACAACTAAAGGCACCTGCCTTTTATCAAATATTTGTTGGCAGTTAATCAGTTTGAAATGGTGGGTTTATCACTGTTTATAATAATGTTATGCCTTACCATTGATAAAATATCATTAAATGTTATTTCGCCTACAAGTGGGAAATAACACTATCAAGTGCCTAATCAACACTATCAAGTCTTGATTTTGACTCTGTAATGTAATGCTGGAAAATGGTTAACATACAGGTTAGATATAGGTTACCAACATGTTTTT